GCAAAAGTAGATTTGCACAGACAGCATGTTTCTTTGTGTTTTGTCTTTGCATGTTGCAATTTCACATTGCATACTATATGGTGCAGCTGTGTATTTTATATATCACAGAGCCCTTCTGCTTTACAACAGACAGCATTTGCTTCCCTTCTGAAAGGGAAGGCCTAGGACATTTTGTGTGTGTGGTTGTGATGCCAGTTTTGGCATTGTTCTTTTAATTATGGCAACAAAAGGAAACAGTGAGGCCACAAAAATGGCCTTCAGGCAGACATTTTGGTCACACCTGCACAAGTCCATGCCTCTACACACACACACACACACACACACACACTAATTTATAAACAAGAAACAAACATGCCAGAATTGAAAATGCTTTTTAAAAAATGGCCATGGCACTTTTTAAAGCCTCTTTTCAATTGATACTGTAATTTTACACCCAACTGGTTTTTTTCTCAGCTTGTGTAGCCGGAACTGTGCTTTGTCTCACTGTGCCATAGCAACACCAATGTCCCCAAAGCTATTATTTTCCTAAGAAAAGTGGAGAATAGATATGACCATTTTCACTGCTGGCTAAGCATTTCATCCCTCCATGCAGAGATGCTAAATGTTTCCCATTTGCTACAGTAGCACTTGTTAGTTATGGCTGTGTCTCGCAACCATGCAAGGAAAACTGTAATTAATAAGTGCCTAGCAATGGGGAAACATGTGGTTCCTGTCAGTGTGTTCAAGATTGGACACTTTAGAGCAGGACAGAGATTTTAAAATGCAGGAAGGAGGCTTTGAAGTGCACACTGGAGGTTTTAAAAGGCAAGATGGAAGCTTTAAAAGGCAAGCGTTCATTTGGAAGAAATATTCCCCACAAGTTTGTAATGAGCAAATCCATATGCCATCACACTTACTAAATGGCAAGCTTCTACTGGTCACATGCAATTCAGCAATATGGAACTGTTTGGCTTGCATGGGCTGTGCAGTTTCCAAACTATAATTCAGATTTTTTTAAGGCTTGCTGCTGACTGCAGTTATCTAAATGAAAGCAGTGAGAGTGGTTGGTTGCTTGGGTTGGGATGTATAGGACTCCCCCTTAAAAAAAGGAGCTGATCATCCTATTCCTGAAAACACTTTTGCTCTAGGAGAATGGAAGCTCCTCCCTTTCCCTGAACTACCCAGGCCTGCTTACATATTATATCATGGGGCTACAATTTGTTCGTGAGAATGAGCATAAGCAATATGGTAACTAGGCAGGAGGTTCCTGTAGTCTCAGCAATAACTACCCCCTGATCAGGGGGACAAACAGCTAATGGAGAAAGGGCTAAGCATATATACGCCACATTACTCTTCTGATCATAGAAACATAGCATCCTAGGGTTGGAAAAGGACCCATAAGTCACTAGCATTCAGTTGAGGGAATCCAGCTAGAGCAGTGGTTGCCAAACTTTTGTTCTCCAGGTGTTTGGACGTTGGATCCCAGAATTCCACACTGTTGGCCACATTGACTGGGGCTTCTGGGATCTGAAGTCCAAACACCTGGAGAATGAAAGTTTGCGAATCGCTGAGCTAGAGAATCCCAAGAGGCAGGAATCTAGCCTCTTTTTGAAGACATCCAGAGAACAAAACTCCACCACCTCTCTAGGTAATTGGTTCCATTGCTGAACAGCTCTTACCATCATGAAGTTGCTTATGATATTCAATCTAAATCTACCCTCCTGTAATGTAAAACTATTAGACCTAGTTCTACGCTCTGGGGCAGCAGTGTATGTTTGATTTTTGTAGCTTAAATGTAGAATTTTACATTTCTCTCTGTTGAATTTCATTCTATTAGTTTTATCCCAATTTTCACCTTCACCACAGTCTTTTTGAAGTCTATTCCTGTCTTCCAGTGTGTTAGCTACCTATTACAGTTTTGTGTCATCATCAAAATTGATAAGGATTCTCTCTAACCCACAATCTACGTCACTGATAAAAGTACTGAAGAGTGTTGGCCACAGGACAGGACCCTGAATCCAAATTTCAACACCTTGAATCTGCATTTCTAGAGATCACGTATCAGCAGCAGAAGAACAGATGATGAAGGGGACAATAAAGGCACTAATTTGATTATCTCCAGTCCCCCTTAAAGATATCGGTCATGATCCTGTTTCAGGAGATGTAACCACATCTCTTTGCTATGCCTCATTTTCCTGTCTCATAGATAAGTCTTCCGATGCTACTCACATGCTACATAAAGAGGGCAGTCATATCATGGTTCACGTCCCCACCCATTCTCTGGCAGGTCAGAAATGGGGAGAAGACCATTTTTCACATGAATATTAAGAAAATTAGCCTTGAATTAGGGTAAATGGTGCTGTTTAGGGGAGGGGAGACACACCAAAATGTGACCAGGAGTGACATGTCATCACTTCCTGTTACTAAAATGGGAGCCATGACAGCACATTGACATATTCTGAGCCACTGTAGCTCACCATTCTCGAGTATGTGCCCACCCTTGGCATAGACATTACTGAGCTGGATGGGACAACGGTCTGAAGCTACATATCATATACAGTATATGACCTTTCCCCAGTGTTATCTATCTATCACTCTTCTGCAGGCATTAGCTGACCTTTCATCCAGCATTTTCATCCACTCCGCATTGATGGATGATATGTCTTCTGTTCTCCTTCCCATTCCCATCTTCTGCAACATGCCATGAAGAAATGACCTGGAACTATTGCTGAAGGAATATAAATCCATAAGAAAAGGGTTTTAAAACTTTTCTGAAAGATAAATCTCAGGGCAGCAGAAACTGTGCTGTTGATTGGGCTATCAACAGGGTATTTATGGGGTGATCACTTATTTTAACTACTAGCCATAAAGATGTGCTATGAGGGGAAAAGATGCAGAGAATATTCTAATTATCATTTACTTTCATAAAATCGAATAAATCAGATTTCTTGCATCTTTCCCACTTGAAACAAATATGAGGAAACATGAAACTCATGATAAAGCTGCATCCCAAGCATAAGCATACTTACTAGAGGATTAGTTCTGTTGTATTCAGTGGGACTTATTTCTGTGTAAAACTACTTGGACTTATAGCAGCAATAGCTGCTATAAATGATTGAGAGAGAAGGTAAAGGAAGTTCCTGAGAAGCTTGGGTAAAAGAACTACTACTCTCTTTTTTAGCCCTTATTCCTAAAACAGGAAGATGGGCATCTCAGACTTGATAAATGCCTTCATCTAATGAGCTGCTATATTGTTGTTGCTGCTGCTTTAAAAAAAAAGTTTTGGATAATTCAGCCTACTTCTCGTCCAGATTTGCCAAATGTTGCTTTTGATGCTTCAGTCAAGATCCTAAAGTTTTTGGGAACCCATTTCCTGCAAAAGTTGTTCCCTGTTGAAAATCTGCCAGAAATAACACCCAGACTTTTGGAAGATGTTGGGTTTGTATTGATGGTGGTAAGCAAAGCTCTGAAATTACTGCTATTTGGTTTTTAGAATGTATTACAGTCTCCCCTCCGTTTTTGTGGGGGATCCATTCCGGACCCCTCAGTGAAAATGGAAACTCAAATATATTCAAGCCCAATTGGCTTGAATGGCCACGTGTTACTGAGTGCACACCAATTTAGTCAATGGGGCTTGCACCTCTGTGAATAATCGAGACTGCAGACTTCAAATCCACGAAAACAGAGGGGCAACTGTATACAATTGCTCATTATTTACCCCCAAACAAGTAACCACCATATCCCTCCATATCCACAGATTCTTTATCCATGGATTCAACCATCCACAGCTTGAAAATTTCAAAAAGTATATGAATTCCAGAAAGCAAACCTTGATTTTGCCATTTTATATAAGGAATATCATTTTACTAGGCCACTGTATTTAATGGGGTGTGCGTATCCACATATTTTGTTATTCACAAGGAACCAAACCCCAGTGGATACCACTGGGGGGGGCAAACCATTATTTTAAAAAGCCTGGTTTTATATAGTCATGTCATGCCAAAAACTATGGTACCACACCACACCTTCACAATCCCCAGGTGTTTTCCCTGTGAGAGTAGGAAGATAGAAAACTAGTCAGACTAGTCATCCATCTAATTCAGTATCACCAATATCAGGAGTGCAGAACTTGTAGCCCTTCTTATGTTGGGCTACAGCTTTGATTGTGATTGATTGATTGTGATGTGATTGATGTTGGACTGTAGCTCTGATTGTGAGTTGGACAAACTACACCATGTCTAGGGGAGGGAGACGAAAATGGTGAAATGTCTGGAAACCATGTCTTATGAGAGACTTGGGGAGCTGGGTATGTTTAGCCTGGAGAAGAGAAGGTTAAGAGGTGATATGATAGCCCTGTTCAATTATTTGAAGGGATGTCATGTTGAAGATGGAGCAAGCTTGTTTTCTGCTGCTCCAGAGAATAAGACCCAGAACAATGGACGCAAGTGACAGGAAAAGAGATTCCACCTAAACATTAGGAGGAACTTCCTGACAATGTGATCTGCCTTGAAGGGTGGTGGAGTCTCCTTCTTTGGAGGTTTCTAATCAGAGGCTGGATGGCTACCCTGGAGTGCTTTGACTGTGACTTCCTGCATGGCAGAAGATTGAACTGGGAGGTCCTTGTGGTCTCTTCTAACTCTACAATTCTATGATTCTATCTAGATTATTGCATTACACTGTTATAGTGCTGCTATTCCACTTTTATTGCTCTGGCTGTCTCATGTTGCATTCTGGGATTTGCAGTTTAGGAGGGGGCATTAGAATTCTTGGCCAAAGAGCTCTTAGGCCTCACTGAACTACAAACAAGAGTATGCAATAGGAGGCAGCCAGAGCAGTAAAAGTGGAATAGCAGCACTACAACAGTGTAGTGTGGTAATCTACTATGATTCCACCACTCCTAGCCAAAATAGTCAAGGATAATGAAAATTGTGCCCCAAAATCTGGAGGGTTCCCAATTCCTGAGCTGCTCTGCTGAGCAAACCTTTTTATCCTTTTAGACAGAGATCTTTTCCATCATTTTCTGGAGATGCCAGGGATTGAACTTGGGATCTTCGGTATGCAAAACATGGGCTTTGCCACTGGGCCACATTCCTTCCTTTAGAGCTCTTTTAACTAATGATGTCAATTGTCAAAGTAATACTTTATTTTGTCAGTTCTATAGCATATTCTCCCTCCTCCCCCTGCGATCTAAGAGAAATTTAATTCTCCTAAATGTGTGATGTTGGATAGGACTCAAAGCATGGTCTGAAGGCACACTGCATGATGCATTAACTTTACTGCAGCTGTGATCAGCGCCTGGATCTCAGACTGCCTGGAAGCTCCATATATTCTGTCTTGAATTCTATTATGGAAGAAAGATGGGCTGTGAAAAGAATGAATGATATTATAATCCCTTAATTGCATTAATTAATAATTAATGAAATTAGATGAAATCCCTAAATGAAATTGACAAGCCCACCCTCTTCTCCTTTCTACATATTAATTGTCTCTTATATAGCCAGGGGATGTAAAAATAATAATTAATCTAAGACATGGGATGGGATGAATACCAATAGAATTCTATGCTTTTTTTAAAAAAGTAACTTCTCCAAGCTCTGCATGACAGAAGAGTGAGCATGACAAAACTGTAAGGAATAATCAGGAGTTGGGATCTCTGAGAAGAAAGGGTAAGCTTACATGCATTGCATTCTAATACAGGGAAGCCGACTTGGGAGACTTGGATGATGCAGGTAGTTCAACATTCACTCATTTATTATTTATTAAAATAATTAAACCCCACCCTGTATCCAAAGACCTCAGGGTGGCGTACAATAAAATCAAGAGAAACAAATTAAAATGTAAAGCAGTAAAAGATAATTTACAATCTAAGAACACATGAAACTCTCTAACAGGATCAAACAAGTTAAAACAGTGGAAAACATCTACAGGTGCAAAGTGGATAAAAATCATTAGACCCTGAAGGCTTTAATAAAAAGTCATGATTTTTATTTGGTGTTGAAATAAATGCAGGAGGGGGGTGTTTGTTTTTGCTAGGCTACTCACTGGGTCTGGTTATCAGGACCATCACTTTCCCTTCCTTAAAACCTAGGGGACAAATCTTATGCAGATGAAGAGTTGGATGTCTCACCACTGAGTTTTCAGTGGGGCAAAGGACATTAGGGAGTCTGGCCATGCCCCTTACATCATGGGTCTGCTCAGACCTCTTTAGCCTTAATGGACTTGGAGAGCTAGGAGTAACAGTAGGATTCCTCCATGTGCTGCTTGTCAACCTAAACAGAACAGGCAGAGATGTATGGGGAAATCTGCAATAACACAGGGGCTGTGTATTGTGGAAATTGGATAAAGACAGGGCTTCCCCAGGACTCTTCATAGGTTGAAAGAGGAATCTCCTTGGGTTGGATTAGACCTGAGATCTGCAGTTCTCCTAGCTACCTCTTTAAAAGAATTGGTCCATTTCAGAGCATAATCCAAATCACAAGCGCAATTGCAAAATGTTGTAGTTGTTGCGTGCCTTCAAGCCATTTCTGACTCATGGTGAACCTATCACAGGGTTTTCTTTGCAAGATTTGTTCAGCGAAGGTTTACCATTGCCTTCCCCTGAGACTGAGAGCATGTGACTTGCCCAAGTTCACCCAGTGGGTTTCACAACTGAGCTGGAAATTTAATCCTGGCCTCCAGAGTCCTAGTCAAATGCTCAAATCACTATGCCACGCTGAATCACAACATACCCTTTTATCATGGCAAGAGATCCTGTTTCTCTGTGGCTGGTGCAGCAACATCCATGTTAAGTGGCAAATCTGCTCTAGGTTTCAGTATGAACTTTAAACACACCATCCAAGGCTCCAAATCTGTGTGTGAGGTAGGACCCATCACCTTGGATAAATTGGATAAATCCTTCTCTATGTGCCAGTGGGCATGCTGGCAGGATGAGGAGTTCTGGAAATTGAAATCCAAAAATGTAACTTTTTCCAGTGCTCTGCTGCTCTGCTATCACCATTTCCTCTGTCATTAGAAAAAGCATTTTCATTTATGACTAGAACTCACAGGGGAAATATCATTTTAGCCTATGCCAGTTCCAAAGCAATCTTGGCCAGAGTAAAATGCAGCTTGTGTTCTGGCACACAATAAATTGTAATTAAACCTTTTGGTGTCAGTCAATAGTATCTCTTTTTGCCTGCTTCTCAGCCAAACTTGTTTTAACAACACTTAATGCTTACCATATAGAAAATACCAGTAAGCTAAGCTGTCCCATCAGGTCCAAGCCCAGTTTTAATAAGTGGTTTCTGGACCAGTTGGCATCAGCTGGCAAGTGAAGGCATGGCCTAATGAGCTTGGTTTCTGCGCTCTCTGATCTCCTCACTCTCTGGAATCCTCTAGGCTTGTCTGTGCTAACAGGGAAAAAGCCAAAATTCCTTAATTGAATTAAATCTATGTTGGAGAGTTTCCACTAGGAACTCTGTTCCTAACAGAAACATTTTAGACACCATGTAAACAGCCAGGGTTTAGAATTAAAATGGCCAGATGTTGAAATATTAGAGTAGAGAAAGATGGTTGTAATTTTCAAAAATGCAAAAAAAATATATGCAGCAATAAGAATAAGAAATAAACCATTGTTTCCCACAGTCTTTACCATCTGTCTGTGCTATATCTCAGCCCTGTGCATTTGTAGAAAAAGTCCAGTGTTCCCCCACCCCAATTAAGAACAGTGTACAGTAAGTCTGTTATAATTTTTAAACTGGTCTTGCTAATAGCAAATCAAAGTGCCAAAGTTTGAGTCAGCTGCAAAATAAATTTAAAAAAAAGGCTAATGGGGCATTCAGGAGCTGCATTGCAAACAAGTAATATTTCTAAGTTCCGACAGGAATTTCTGATAGGAGCAGAGATGTGAAGGCTCAGAGGGAAAATAGAGAGAAAGATGAAAAATAGTTATTACTTTACATACACACACACACACACACGACCAGGGCTAAAATGTTGTCTATCAACAGCTAGGATGAGTAAAGGATATTGAATGTGTATGAAGATCATCTGGTCACTTTCTTCACCACTGAAATGAGATATATTGTTTAACAGTACTACAAGATCTCTCTGCACATTGAATCTACAAACTAAAAGCTATATCTTTGAATTCTACACACTTAAATATTAAACTGATCATGGAACTTAGCATATACAAATCATTGTGTGTGAGGGAGTGATAGCTAGTTTTGTTTTTGGTGGTTTTTGGAGAATTTTGTTTTTTTGTTTTGGGTATTGATTAAGTGTTCACTCTAATTAGATTACATTAGTCATAAAGAAGTCTTAGAAATCACCTTCCTGTACCAGAGGCACATGCTCCGCTGCTTTCCTTTAAAAAATGACTGTCGTTTAGGACAAGTCAAGAAGCCATCAATCAGAATCTCAGAAGAGAAGACACAGAATCTTACGTGCTTTGTCTTTCTGAATCTAGATCAGAGATTTCTGTATTTCAACTCTATCATGGTTATCATCCAGACTTCCTTTTGTATTCTGAAAATGCATTGAACTATGTGAGTCAACAAACAATTCCAAGCCTTTAGCATCCTCTTAAAAGTTGTTATGATTGTAAATGATACCTTGATAGCCCAAGTGGTGTACTGCTTTGAGCGTTGGACTGTTGACTTGAATCCTTGTTCAGCCATGGAAACTGACTGGATGACCTTGAGGAAGACACATACTCTCAGCCTCAGCTGAAGGCAAAGGCAAACCCCCTGTAAACAAATCTTGCCAAGAAAACTCCCCTGATAGGGTCATCTGAAGGTCACATAAGCCTAAAATGACTTGAAGGCACACAACAAAATATATACCTTATAAACATGTGAAACCACTTTGCTGTAGCAGAAAAAGAAAAGCTTGTAATATTGTTTGCAATGCTAATAAAGGAAATTATTTCTGGTGTTCTATACAACTATGAGAGCAAGTATGTATATCTACATAAAACTGCAGCAAAGTATTCTTCTCTGGCACTGTTTCTGTAGGATCTAAAATTATATTAATTGATTCACAAAGCATTTTTATCAAGTTTAGTAAATGCTGCTGAAGTCAGTTGGGTGTCCAGAAATGTTAATAGTATTTAGTTCATTTCAATCAAAGCAGTCTCATTAACATGCCAGCTGCTAAAATGTGTGCTACCCACAGAGTCCTTCTGCCAGTCTGCAAGAAAAGATTCTTACTTACTACATAGTTTGCTATAAAAGAGAACCATTGTATTTAAAAATAACATTGATTTCAATATTGGGCCAGAGCAAAAGAAATAATCAAGAAGTCAGCCTTGCAAAATTTCATTTGCCCACACTTGAAAGGGGATTTGTTTTTGTCCCTTTGTGCCATTTCCTGAGAGGCAACTAAAAAGTCACTGCTTTATTCAATTAGTAGTGTTCAGCCATGGCAAAGGATGGATGAGGAGACTCTGTATATAAGCAGCACAATGGTTCCTGCAGAATTTTTAATAATAAGATCAGTCAGGCTTTTCGTTATCAAAACTGATTCCTGAAACCCCGATGCCAGTACGGGGCTCTAGTGCAAGCAGTGGTATGCTGCAGATACCAAAGTTTTATCCGGTGCCCTGCAGTAGAGGAGGAGGCAGCTGGCTATGACTGGCTTACCAGGAAATCTCTGCACTCATTCTTACTCTGATACTGTCTGCCAAACCATATTTTTCTACTGCAGTCCTATACACATCTCAGGGTTGACCTCCTGCTCATTATGCAGCAGAATAAGGCAAAACCCTCATGAGCAGCAAATTTGAGGGTGTCATGGAAGGTCAATGTCATTCACCTGCACATCAATTGCCAGAAGAATAAATTTCCTTCTCCCCATGCAGATAATGCCAGGTAATGTAGGTTAGATGGAGAGTTATGATCATAGCAATAATGTCACAATAATGACTAAAGATTTTATCTCATGAGGTTGTTCTACCACTCAGAGGCCTGTTGTGAAGAGTTTGCATGGCATTTTGTAAATAAAGTCACTCAGATCCACTCTGGATTGGATGCTAAAGTTGATACAGTGCCAGTGGATGTAACCTTGACACTTGTCTGTCCAACATTAATGGATACTTTTCAACTTGTGATG